TAAAAATTTAAGCAAAGTTTAAAGTACAGCTATCTCGAAAAGTGGAGCCAATCGGGCAAAACTGGGGACGCCATTGAATTTAGAAGGTTCCAGTTAAGTAAGAGCAACTATCAGAACCTTCGTCGAAAAAAGTTTTTTTGATACCACGCTCGAAATATTCTGACTACAAAAAGGAGCATCATTATCATTATAAAGTAATAAATCAGGGTTTTTACACTTCTAGAGACAATTTTTTTAAGCATTTTACAGGCATATGTAATCTTATAAGGACTAGAAGTTATAAAAAGATTTAGACCGTTTCAACGTATTTTGTTAATGTGCCTTCAATTATGATGTTTTTTGGAAAAAAATTACGCTCAAGATCGCAGAATATTTTATCTTTAAAAGTTGGTTTATTCTGAAAGCACACCTCATGCTAAGGTATCAACTTATTCGTAATTGTTAATAGAATACAATAAATACTTAAAAGGTTTTTAAAACGAAATGCTTCAAAAACTATGCGCGATAAACCGAAAATTTTGAAAATTGCGAGTTACTTGCCATTTAGTTATTTTTAAAGCACACTTTAGTTACCTACTACATATGAAATGTACACATAAGTACTAAGTGCCCATTAAATTTCAAATCAGAATATGGTGGGCTTCAAAAGGTATGACATAACTTATTGTGCCCCTCTAAAAAATTACATAAACAATTCATTTGTTTTCATTAAACACCTATAATTCAAAAGTTATGCAGCAAATTGATCAAAATTTTTTTTGAGGCTTCAAGTATACGTCAATGAATTATATCCCAAAGCAACCAGCTTGATATAGTTTACAACAATGAAACTGAAGCTAGATAACACAAAGGTTACCTGTTTTTTAGATTTGCCCATATACATTAGGGTGGTTCATAAAAACACTCTTTTTTGGAAATTCATGAACGCTACATCAAAATATTGTTATTCGTGATAAAAAAGACACGTATATTTCATTTTGAAAAAAAAACGCCGGTCGGTTTTTTATAAAAACGCTTCTTCGCTCTTCTCAATTTTTTTTATTTTCATGACATGTTAAAATGCAGCTAAAAATGTGGTTTTTACATATACATAATTACTCTGGTATTATTGGGGAACATTCCCTTAATTACATACCTGTCTTGGACAGTTAGAATGGGCCTACTTCCCGAAAATATGCTCTCGAAAAGAGACTACTAAAATTAAAACGTTGATACTGAACGATTTACGCATTGTAATGGGTTGGAACGTGTTACTAGGGGGTTTCTGGGGTTGCTAATTAGGAATATGAAGTCAGTTTTTCAAAATTCGAAATGGCGTATCCAATATGCCGATCAAATTAAAAAATACTTCAATTATTTATAACATTTTGATAATTAAAAAGTTCAGTATCAACGTTTTATTTATAGTAATTTCTTTTTAATTTTAATAGCCATATTGGATCCGCCATTTTGAATAAAAAAAGAATTGACTTCAAATTCGTAATCAGCGGTCCCAAAAACTCCCTGGTGCCGGGTTTCGAACAAATTCAATCAATTTTTAAAAAATTAGTCGCCATTTTGAATTTTGAATAACTGACTTCAGATTCTTAATAAGCAACCCCAAAAACCCCCTGGTAACAATTTCCAACCCATGCCAATGCGTAAATCGGTCAGTATCAACGTTTTCATTTTAGTAGTATCTTTTCGAGAGCATATTTTCGGGAACTAGGCCCTTTTTAACTGTTCAGGAGAGGTATGTAATTAAGGGAATGTTCCCCAATAGTACCAGAGTAATTATATGTAAAAACCACATTTTTAGCAGCATTTTAACATGTCAAGAGAAAAAAGAGACATCAACGTCAAATTAAAAAACACGTTTCTCTTTTTTTCAGGGTTCGTATTTGCACACACATGCTCTGCTCACACACACGCCAGAAACACATTCAACTTGCACTCACTGCTCAAACACATGTGTGTGCATAAGTGGAAAACAAACTCTGCTCACAGAAAAGTGTGTGCTGTTTGTTCCCAACGCACAGTGGTCCAATCTGATCTATTAGGGTAATTTAATTATTATATTAAGAACAAAGATAGATATCGGGATGAAATTTTGCACAAATTATGTCTGAATGACTAACAACTTCTGCTCATAAAATGGGCAAGATCGAATAGCAACCACACCTACCAACCATATACTTAAAAAATCGTTAAATTTTTCGTCAATTTCTGGTACATTTTTTAAGCACTTGCGCACGGTTATAGATACTTGTATACCTATAACTTTTTTAACTATTTGGGATGAATTAAAAATAGAAAGTCCGTTATGTATATACTGTATTGACGCCGGATCCAAATCACCCACCTAATATATGTATAAAATAAAGAAAACTGCTAAAAAGTCAGATCAAGCTTAACAACTTTTAGGGCCGTTTCCNTTGTATACCTATAACTTTTTTAACTATTTGGGATGAATTAAAAATAGAAAGTCCGTTATGTATATACTGTATTGACGCCGGATCCAAATCACCCACCTAATATATGTATAAAATAAAGAAAACTGCTAAAAAGTCAGATCAAGCTTAACAACTTTTAGGGCCGTTTCCTCATCTAACCTTTAGATTACCGGCCACTTTATCGTCTCGATATACGAGTTTTCGTTTTCTCAATAGCGCATTAATTAATTTCGAATCGATACATTGTTGCTCACCCGATGCAACCTCTAAAAATGTGTACCCAACTTTAAATTTTGGTTCGGTTTTGGTTCATGAGTCAGATATATTAGATATTTCGACCAAGGTTTTGGTTTTTGCTAACAGTTTTGCTTATGTCGCATTGTCAACCTTTGAAATTATAGTTTCGATCCCGTACGAGTCCGGACTAGTCAGAAATAGTCAGAATCAGTCAGATTTTACTGGAAATCGATCCCGTACTCGGTTCTCTGACTATTGAGAGGACAAAAAAGAGAGTAAATACGGTTCTCTCTCTGTCAGAAGTTACCAGTTTTAGTCCGAGAATTTTTTGCTGGTAAATTCTGGTGAATGTGTCAAACGATCAGCTGTAGTGTGTTTGGCAACCAAATTGTTAACAAAAGAAAAGTGCACTCTGCTAATTCATGTTGAAAAGTATTTAATTACTTGTTTAAGTGGATTCTAATGAATTTGAAAGTATTTTTGGTTATTTACATGTGTGAGCTGAGTGTGTTTACATACAAAATAAGCAAAATTTTACAACCAAATTTGGAGGTTATGTTGAAGTTGACAGAAGTTACCATTTTTTACTAGAAAGCGATCCCGTGCTTTTCAATGTTACTCTCTCGCTCTGAGCGAATTTTTATTTTTTGACAGTTTTACTAGTCCGAGTCCGAGGAATACGGGATTGCACCTTATATGACGAATGTAGTGAAGTTTCACTCTCGGAAATGTAGTGAAGTTTCACTACGGAATAACAAATTTATTTTTACCGGTAAGATAAGAAAACCAAAACACTTTAAAGTGAGGAACAATTTATCTGCCCTGTTAGTAAAGGCAACTTCACTGCTTACATTAGAAAATGGCCCTCAGTAAGTAAACGATACTGATGCTTTGATAAATTTGTGTCGAATACACCGGCACACAAAAAAGAATTAGTGTGATGTGCATTTGACCGGACCTACCTATGGTTATGTATTTCGACCCGCAGAATTCGAATTTGAAGTCAGTTTGGCCAATATACCTCCTAGATTTCGAGAAAACTAAAAAAAAAACCGTAAAAATAGTGAAAATCGGCAATAAAAACGGTTTTTTGAAGTTTTCTCGAAATCTTGGAGGTATATTGGCCAAACTGAATTCAAATTCGGATTCTGCGGGTCGAGATACATAACCGTAGGTAGGTCTGGTAAAATGCACATCACACTAATTTTTTTTGTGTGCCGGTGTTATTAGTGCGAGAGCTTCTTCAGGCGAAATTCCTTTAGGACTCTTCTTAGCCAATATCACCTTCTTAATAGCAGTACCTCTTTCTGGAGAAGCACTTAAAAGCTCATTAAGTAGCGTAGCCGAAGATCTAATTTTTAGTTCAGTGGCCAAAAAGAAATACATCTGGTTCGATAACTTTCGAAAGCTCATTAGCTTTCTTCATTTCAAATTTTTGGCAACAATCTTCAAAACTTGTAGCTGGCCTACTAGCAGAAAATGTCGGCTTACCAAACTTAGAACACACAAATTGTGACAAGTCTATTTCAAATTCGAGCCAATCTTTCTCTCTTTTCGGAAAACTTTTATCCACTTTAGGTCCGAATTCTGAATTAACTTCGCACGTATGATTTCAATTTAACAAATTTGATTCTATCACTAGATCCTAAACTGATATTCCCTGGTACAAAATCCATTATTCCATCAAGTCTTTAATTTTTAGGGGTCGGCAGCCAAAAATCAAAAATTTCCTGTCTTGAAATTTTAGGAGCCATTTTGAAAATTGAAAATAAATGTACGGGTGCCACAGCTAGCCGCAGAATTTTTTTGTGGATTCTATTAGTATATATTTCAGTTGAGAGAAAAAGTATAGTAAGTGATCTATATTCCGCCATATAAGAAAGATTTCTTCTACAAAAACAAAAAAATAATAATTTGGTACTCACCAAAAAGATTAAAACTTTATCAGCTCCAAAAAAATATGTGCGTCCACTTCAGTAATAATTTTTACATTTCCTGAATTTTCTTACTTAAAACAATGACGGAGAAAGAAATGAAGTTAAAACAAAGTTTCTTTAAAAAAGTTATTGAGCCTTAAAAATACTCAGTTTTCGTTGCTCGTAAAATTTAATTTTTTACTTATGCTTACTATGACTTTTGGATACCGTTATGTTTATATGTAGCCAAATTTTTTCAAACAAAGTTGTATTTACTCTTAAGTAGACAATATTCTTGCATATTTGATAAAAATTTTATTGAAAAATTACAAACAAAAAATTTAATTAAATTACCCTAGCTTTTCACATTGGACCACTGTGCAACGGGGCCAGAAGCGCTCCATTAGTTCTATTGGAGCGCTCCATATTCAGCAGTAAGCAGTAATTTCATACTTCATTGTATTCTAACATTGTGTGTCATTAGAAAGAAGCTCTCCCTTGCTGCTCCCCAAGAAGCCCTTGGTGAGCCCTTCAACTAAAGCATTTAAAACGCGGTGCATGCAAATTTTAATTTTTATATTATATTTTTGTTTTAATAAAAGAATGGCGTTTTTGTAAACCATTTGATGGTTTTATTAAGTGTACATACTTATAAACATTTTTTTTTCTTTTCTGTGTGGTATACATACGAAAATACATACATGCATACATGTTTGCACATAAATTAACTTTTTTTCAAAAGAAAATATTTTATTGTTACTACTCAAAATGATCCTAATAAAATATTTTCTTTTGAAAAAAAGTTAATTTATGTGCAAACATGTATGTATGTATGCATGTATGTATTTTCGTATGTATACCACACAGAAAAGAAAAAAAACAAAAGAAAATATTTTATTGTTACTACTCAAAATGATCCTAATAAAATATTTTCTTTTGAAAAAAAGTTAATTTATGTGCAAACATGTATGTATGTATGCATGTATGTATTTTCGTATGTATACCACACAGAAAAGAAAAAAAACAAAAGAAAATATTTTATTGTTACTACTCAAAATGATCCCAACTGGACAAGAAGCGCTCCATTAGCGCTATTGGAGCGCTCCATATTCAGCAGTAAGCGCTCCCTTCCTAATTTCACACTTCAATGTATTTTAACATTATGTGTCATTAGAAAGAAGCGCTCCCTTGCTGCTCCTAAAGAAGCCCTTGGTGAGCACTTCAACTAAAGCATTTAAAAAGCGATGCAAGAAAATTTTCATTTGTCATATTATATTTTTGTTTTAATAAAGTAGTGACGTTTCTTGTAAATCATTTGATGGTTTACTTGTGCTTGTATTTATAAACATGATTTTTTTCTTGTTTATGTGCTATACATACATATTAAATATACATAAAAATATACATGTTTGTGCATACATAAATTATCTTTTTTCAAAAGAAAATATTTTATGTAACTGCCCAAAATGCTATTTATTTCTGAGAATTGTTAGAAATTTAAAAATTTACTTTTACTTTGCTTTTGTACTGCTCCCTACTTGCTCCTTTGGGGAGCAACTCACTTTCAGTCCCGTTGGGATATTTATTTCTGAGCATTGTTGGAAATTTAAAATTTTATTTTTTACTTTGCTTTTGTACTGCTCCGTACTTGCTCCTTTGGGAAGCAGCTAACTTTCAGTCCCGTTGGGTTATTAAGCACATGCATATGTGTGTGAGCCGATTTTTGTACAAATTTCTGCCCATGCACATGCATATAATATATTTTTAAAAGAATTTTTTTATAAAACGTTATTTTTTGAAAGACAATTCAATAAAATATGTATTAAAAAATTCATTTAAAATTTGAGTTAGAATTCGAAGTGTATAAGTTTCTCTACGCAAAGCACACACATGTGCGTGTGCTTTATATCGAGCCATAACCGCCGAAAAAATGTATCCCACAAACTCGAAATTTTACAGGGGAAGGTTTTTTTTTTAAATTAAATCAGTTTGAATAAAGCCGTTATTTTAAAATTTATAGTGTAAATATTTTTTTGTGTAATACATTTAATTTTAATAATTTTAAATAGATATTTGCATCATAACGGTTGTTTTTGTGGGATACATTTTTTTTGCTTTCCTTCTGGCAACCTATTATTAAAAAAGTGTGTGGGTTACACAAAAATTTATTTTAAGGAAGTGACTTCCCGTTTTTTTTTTATTTAATTTTTTTACTTAGTCCTTAAAATTAAATTACATTTGATTTAAAAAAATAAATAAATGTATACATTTCTTAGTATATTCGATAAAACAAAAATAAAGTAATGTAATTCATATATTTAAAGTTTTCTGTTAACAAAGTAATGTTATTCATATTAAAATCTTGTAAACTTGAATAACGATAGATAAAAATATATAAAGAACGCTAAATACTATCTTCCTGGTCGGTTTCAGGTAGCAAATCTTTAACAGATCCATCCCATTTTAAATTTAAATACTCGTGTTGGAATTTTACGGGTAAAGTTTTTCTATCGCAAAGCGTTTTCAAATCCTTATATTTAGCAGAAGAAATGTTTAATATATCATCATATAATTGAGTAGGTCCCTCACAAACTATTTCGGAGTTTCGTCTGGATCGTGGAATTGAATCTAGATCATAATTTATGGTTTCAGATTCATCAAAGTAGCCATATTTAAGAGTAATATTTGGAATATTTTTTTCCAATGTAACAGAGCGTAATTTTGTAAATTGAATNGTTGGCTTTTTTATATTTTCAAGGCAAGTTTTACACGAACTTCTATTTTTTATTACGGATATTAAAATCGCCTTTTAATATCGACTTGTTAAACACAAGAAGATAGCCAATCTTTCTGTCTAATTTTGTTGCCGATTCCGCAAAAATGTTCATTTATTCTTACTCTTTCATCTTCAGAAATTTTATCATGACACGAATTTGGACATTTTTTCTTTAAGCACGGGTTGGGCAAAACACTCGAATTTTTTTTTCTTAACTTTTTGCAGCCTTTTAGGTATTCTCTTTTGCTTTCTGTAGCCCCTTTTCCCAACACACGTTTCCTCCTCGACTTCTTTTAAACTTTCCAAACCATTTAAATCAACGAAAGATTCATCTGAATCGCTATACGGTACCAGGGAGAGCTGTAAAAATATCCAATAATTGAAAACAAAAACATATTTTGCAAAAAAAAACAAATTCATACCTTCGACATATTGTTCTAAAGCTTTATCTTTAATTAAAGTATCAAAAAATTGTGTTTTTTTTATTTTTTTTCCCTTGTGTTTCATTTATTTTAAAAGAGAATTTAATTGTATCCCACACAAGCGTTCAAAGAAAATGTAAACAAGTCACCATATGCATTTACATTAAAATTGTTTTTGTTATAAAATCATAACGGTTTAATCTACAGCCATGAAATTTTGACAGATGATGCAAATGATGTTGAACTATCGATTTCGATAACAAAACAAAAATCGATTATGGTGTGGGATACATTATTTTGGCGGTAATGGCTCGATATTAATAAAAATAAAGGACACACATGTGCCCGTGCTTTTTACCAAACGTCACACGAACGGCAAATACGATCCCTGCTTTTTTTTATCACAAATAACAAAAATTTGAATTTTTAGAATAATTAAACGCTACCGTTTATCAATTTCCAAAAAAAAAATTTTTAACCACTCTAATATACATAAGTCTATCAGCCTTATTTTGTAACACGAACGATTCGTGACAACATCTCTGATTGCGATTTTATTACTCTATCGGTCGTCTTCGTTTTGCTTTTCATATATTACGTTGCAATGGTCTCGATTGCGTTTAAACCGGCTAGAATGATGCCGCCGCACTAATTTTTGAAGCATTCCTCTGCAGACGAACCGTTCGTGATACAGAATAAGGCTGTATATACAGGGTGTCCCAGAAGTAACGTGCCAAACTTTAAGGCAAGGTAGGTGGGGGGGTGAGCTTACTGATAAACAAAAAATTTTCAGGTAAAAGTGTCACCGTTTTTGAAATATTTACATTTTTTCGAATTTAAAAAAAATCGTGCCTTTTCATGTGTTTTCTTTAACTGCAACTACAAACCGGGCAATACTTAGTAAATTTTTTATGTAAAATACTTCCAGATAGTTGCCTCTCCATACTCAAATGCAATGTAGTTAAAATA